CAGGCATGAGCCCCATGATGTTGCCGTCGGCAATCTTGTTCAGCTGTCCCGGCAAGAGACCCATGATGTTGCCATCGGCAATCTTATTCAGCTGTCCGGGTAAGAGACCCATGATGTTGCCATCGGCAATCTTATTCAGCTGTCCGGGTAAGAGACCCATGATGTCACCACTGGCAATTTTTTTCAACGGGTCGGGCAGGAAATCCAATGGAGGGCTGAACTTTGCAAGCGATCTGGCAAGGCACTTTGTCACCTCAACGTGGTTGTGATTTCCCTTGCAGCTGTGCCACAATTCCCAGCCCAGGTGGAAGAGAATTCTGAGCTGATCGGGCAAAAGGTCAAAAACTTTTCCATTCGCGACCTTCTGCACCGGGTCGGGCAGGAATTTCAACAGTCCCCCTACCTTCGTAAGTGATCTGGCAAGGCACGCCGTCACGTATTTGTGGTTGGGTGTTCCCTTGCAGGTGTCCTTTAGCTCCCATCCGATGTGATAAAGTATCTTCATCTGCGAGGGCAGTAGATCTTGGACCTTGCCATCAGCAACCTTCTTCAGTTTATCAGGCAAAAGGTCAAGGACTTTGCCATTGGCAACTTTCTGCACCGGGTCGGGCAGGAATTTCAACAGTCCCCCTACCTTCGTAAGTGATCTGGCAAGGCACGCCGTCACGTATTTGTGGTTGGGTGTTCCCTTGCAGGTGTCCTTTAGCTCCCATCCAATGTGGTACAGTATCTTCATCTGCGAGGGCAGCAGATCCTGAATCTTGCCATCAGCAATCTTATTCAGTTTATCAGGCAAAAGGTCAAGGACTTTGCCATCGACAACTTTCTGCATTGGGTCGGGCCACGTGATGTCGTTCACAATCTTGTCGCCCATGCACTTGAAGACGTTGCCGTCACAGTTGCCCAGTCCTGTGCCGATGTCGATAGCTGTTTGAATTGGAGCCGGCCAGGTCATTTCAAGGGAGCCAAAGTTGAAATCGAACAGCGTAATCTGTTGCCCCATGAGGCGGATCCGACAGTTCTGCCGACCCCAGTTGAGCGCCATCAGGACACTCTTTTTTTTACACTCCACTATGTCCTTGTAAAACGGACCGAATACCTTTCGGCGGCCGGTAACCTCACATACGTCGACGTAATCCCTAATGCTGGGTCCGGTGATGTCGCAGTCGGCGCCCCAATCGGTGAAGCCTTTCAGAAGGATCTCCACGGCCATCTCCACCGTGTCAATCACCGTATTGGCAACGAAGGCCACCTTTTACCAGCGCCAAACCCGACCCGACCAGCCCCTAATAGAGTCGCCCCAGAGCCTCGAAGCCTCAAACTGAACCAAAAACCCGACCAGCCCCCAGAGTCGCCCGAGAGCCTCAAATTCCTAAACCAAATCCTGAAGCGGCCACCTTGTCAGTGGCTGCAGCGTAGGCATCCGCTGTGCTCTTAGCGACGCTTTTGACATCCTCTTGCTTCGGGCTTTGCGGGAGAAGCATGACGTCAAACTTTCCGCAAGTCTGTAGTGGTTGGGAGGGCCTAGGGTTCCGCCGAGCGAAGTGAAGGAACCCCAGAAGCGAATCGCCGACAGCTACCGGTCTGAAAGATCCATGTCAGTTCAGGCAAGGTCACCTTGTACGCATTTGAAGGATCCTACCCAGAACACAAGCTCACGGACATCAAAGACGTTGGAAAGTCTTGCACAAAAATTGGGGGCCCCTGTATCCTCATCCTCTATGCATCCTGCAAAGCTACCAGCCTGCCTTAACAGCAGCTGCGTTCGGACTAAAAGACTGCAAACATGCTGCAGCACCCCTATTATCTGCAAAACAATCAACTACGCGTTTGCTTTACTACACGGCTTGAAACCGAGCAACTTTGCATTGCTTACGAGACCAGACATGCCCTCAAAGCCACCGTCCTTGCCTCAACGCGGTCCTCTGCGAAGTCTCTTACGTCGTCAACGATTGGGATGCCTTTGGCGGACACTGCACTGTCCAAGGATGCTGTATCAGCTTTCGTCGTCTTCCCGCGCTGCAGAAGCATAGCCTCCGCCTGACTCGTCGCCTGGGGGCTTCGGGTGGAACTGAAAGGAACTCTGGCCGATGGAGGCGAGAGAATCGCTCGAAACCCGTCTGAGGGATCCATGGCCCGTCAACTAAGTTCTCCCTCCGTGCTGACTTTTTTTTGAAGGATTATGCATTCCGGCAGCATCAAGGATATCGTCGAATGGAGTGGCTGACCCTCTAACGTTCAGGACCACCAGCCCGGCCTGACAGTATACTTCACCGTAGGCCGTGTCTCTTTCTTACGAAAGAAAACGCGAGACTCACAACGTCCCGAAATTACTTCGCTCACCACAACACATGCCTTCAGAAACCCTGTCCTTGCCTCCCTCTGCGAGCCTTTGCTCCCCGAATGCTGGGCTCCTTCTGCCAGCAGCTCGGCTCGGTCACTCGCCCCGGCTTCGCCGGCGCGTTTCGGCGAATCTGGCTTGGCGTCGGCCGGGTGGTTTTGCCGAGAAGTCTTCGGATGGAAGTCCTTGTTCTTATGCTGCTGAGCGTGCTTGGCGAGCACCCTCTTCAGGGTTTGCTGGGTCTCTTGCATTCTGGTTTTCTCGTCTTTCTGCACCAAAGACGCCACGCTGTCCGGGTGGTCCACATGTTCGGCAAGACCTTTCACCGTCTTCCTCAATGACTCGATCTCAACCTGCTGCAACTCGCACAGCGTCTCAAGCTGGGCCAGCTTCAGCATCATGAACTCGAAGCTCTTCCCGAGCTCACCAACACCTTGGCAAGAGTTGGGGCTGGAATGACAAGGGCCTACGTAGTGCAAAAAGGGGTTCTTGTGTCGTTCGGCCTAGAAACCCTGGGAGGCGTTTGGCATGTTTCCGTTCAGCGTGAAGTTCGCTGGATTCGGGATCGCATTCATGTCCTTGATCTCTTCCTCCATGTTCTCGGCCGCGATCTCCTCCACTTTCGCCTTGAGGGTCTCGTTATCGGTTTCGACGATCCGTATCGGTGCTTCGGCAACCTGCCGATGAAGACGCAGGGTTCCGAAGCAAATCAGGGTATCTCAATCTGGGACATCTGGGAGATGAAGGTAAAAGCTTGCACGCCGACACAAGACACGCTGCAGACATGCCCAGCACACGAGACAAGCAGCTCCCTTCCGAAGCAACCGCCAAGAAAACTTACTCGATGCAAACAGATACCTTGAAGGCGACGGCGGTGGCCAAGCTGCCCACCGCGAGCCACCAGCGGCATGTCAACGCGACCATTGCTTGGTTCATCAACACAGCTCTACGAGATTCTACGAGCTGATCTGCTTCGTTTTGAAACTGAAGAAAAGCTGCAAAAGCAGAGCACTCTCAGGTCGTGGAAACCATCGCCGCCAACACGAAAACAAAGACATGTGCCCCGAATTCCATCTCGTCACTTAGAACAAAGTGCCCAAGCCCCTTTGTGGAACACGAAACTTGCATGCTACCACTCTCAAGCGCGAGCTTCTCGCTGTTTTTTAGATACAAACTTAGGGCCAGATCAGGAAAAAGAAGCTCAGCACGAGCCTCGTCAAGAAGAAAGCCGCTTGTACCTGACGCAAGCAGCGAGTAGGGCTCAGGGTGTCAGATTTTGGAGTTTTGGTTGTAGGTGGTGGAAACCCTTGGTGCAAAATGTACCGTGGTCCTCCTCTAGTATGCCCGGACGAGCAAATTACTCTGTTGACCTAACTCCGAGCTGTTGTGAAAAGGTTCAGCTCCACCGCCACACCGCTCTTGCAACAGACTGCACAGAACACAGAACAGAACGCGCGAGAGCTTCACTGATTCACTAAAGAGGATCAATCACAGAAAACCTCGATACAACACGGCTGCATGAGCACAACCCAAATCCATGACCGTTTACATGACCATGTTGGGCGGCCACGCAAGCAGATGCAAAGAAACTGCACTGCACGATTACACCGTTAGTGCGCTGTGTATGGCGATCTCCTGCGCCCTTTCCCCTTCTCCCTCTCTGCTCCCTCCCTCCCGAAGGCAACTGAGCCTGACCAACTCTTTGCCACGCAGAGTCGGGCCGTGACCTTGACGGCTGTGCAAAAACTTGAAGAAATCAAAGTGTTCCTAAAAACCCAATTCTGCCGGCGTAGATCCCCAAACAGTGATAAGCCACAAAGACTCCGGAGGAGGTCATGAGGAGACAATTATAAGAGACCGCCAAGAAACCACCCCACCAAAGACACAAGGAGACCAGCAGCAGATCACGAACCCACCAGAAAACCACAAGAGCACCGCGGCCAAACTGCTTCCAAATACTGGCAGGATTCAGGAGCGCGGCTACAATCCTTCCCCACCACTCCCCCTCCATCCACTGAGGCAAATGCCCATGCTTCCCCGAAGTACTAGCTTACTGGCGGAATTTGGAGCACGGACAAGATCCTTCCCCCACAAATGCTGGCGAATTGAAGAGCGCAGGTAGGAGCACGCCCCAATACGGATTCAAGAGCACGGCCTGCACGGCCAACATGGTTTCTGGAAGGATTCAGAGTTTTCGAGGGCCAAAAGGCGGGGGACGGCGCCCAGCGGATCCTTCGCAAAAAGGACTGACTGCAACATCTCTGCACCCCGGCACAGCCTCGCGCAAAGCAAAACCCATGCTTTGTACTCTTAATGCCTAATGCTGGAACCTCATAGTGTGTACCACACTGTTCGGGAAACAAAGCAATCCTTGATCGTGCAGTCCGGCATGGGTGGCGGCAAATGCAAGCTGCGAATACGACTGAAAGCATTTATGTCCGACTTCGGGCACCAAACAACACCCTGACCGGAGATTTCAGTGCTTGGAACTCGGTTTTGCAGACAAGATTCGACAACTGCAGCAAGCGGGAAGAAGGCAATCCAAGATGCTGGTACCAACTTGAAAACTTTGTCCAGTCTGCATCAGGGACCAGGGAGCATTTAAGAGGTGGAGAACTCAGTTAGCATGCAAACATATGCGAAACTGGGATTTGTGACACCGCCTCCTTTTGCAACTACTCCAAAATCATAGGGGAACGCGACTGGAATGGAGGAAATGCCCAAGTGTAAAGTACTGCTGTGGACAGGCTTTTTGTGTCTCAGCTAATCGGAGGCGCAGCGGTGCGCGTAGCAGTAGCAGTAGTAGTAGTAGTAGTAGTAGTAGTAGTAATAATAATAGTAGTAGTAGTAGCAGTCGTAATAGTAATACCAGTAGCAGTAGTAGTAGTAGTAGTAGTAGTAGTAGTAATAGTAGTAGCGGTAATGGTCATAGCAATAGTAGTAGTAGTAGTAGTAGTAGTAGTAGTAGTAGCAGTAGCAGCAGCAGCACTAGCAGTAGCAGCAGTAGCAGCAGCAGCAGCAGTAGTAGTCGTCGTACTAGTAGTAGTAGTAGTAGTA